TTCTAGCTCGTGCTGGTCTTACTGATTGCAAAACTACCTCTACTCCAGTTGATCCTCAGATTCGTCTCACTCCTCTCGATGGGACTCTTCTCTCTGATGCTACTCTTTATCGACAGCTCGTCGGCAGTCTTGTCTATCTCACCGTAACTCGTCCTGACATTGCCTATGCTGTTCACATTGTCAGTCAGTACATGTCGGCTCCTCGCACTCCCCACTATACTGCTCTACTCCGCATCCTTCGCTACCTCAAAGGCACTCTGTTCCATGGCCTTCACTTCTCTGCTTCATCCTCTCTTAAACTGCGTGCCTTTTCCGATGCTGATTGGGCTGGGGATCCTACGGATCGACGTTCCACCACGGGATTCTGCTTCTTCTTAGGGGATTCTCTTCTTGCTTGGCGTAGCAAAAAACAATCCCTCACTGCCCGCTCTAGCACCGAAGCTGAATACCGAGCTCTTGCTGATACTACTCAAGAACTTCTCTGGCTTCGCTGGCTCCTTGCTGATATGGGTGTTTCTTCTTCTGATCCTACCCCTCTCTATTGTGACAACCAGAGTGCCATTCAAATTGCTCACAATGATGTTTTTCATGATCGCACCAAACATATTGAGATTGATTGTCATTTCATTCGCCAGCATGTTACCTGTGGTACTGTTCATCTTCTTCCTATTGCTTCAGCCGATCAACCCGCTGATATCTTCACTAAGGCTCATCCTCCTGGCCGCTTCAATGATCTTGTTTCCAAACTCAACTTGGTTGATGCTTTTTCTCCTTGAGTTTGCGGGGGGGATGTTAGTGTATAATTGTTAATAGTGTTAGTGTATAATTGTTAATAGCTTTCATTATTAATACTTTAGCACTTTATTCTTTATGCTTTCGGTGGGCATCCAATGCATCATATTCTCTCTATAAAGAGAGTGCATTCCCTTTGTAATACATACACACATTTACAGACAAACAATTCATTGTCTCTCTCTCTCTCTCTATCCTCTCTCACTTTCTCAAACTATTATTTCAACATTAAATTCTTTAGGATAAAAATCCTAACAGGGGTTCAAAGAGAAAATTGAAAAGACTCATTTAAGTGGTAGGGGTTCAAAGAAATGGGAGATCCAAAGAACAAAGGTGGATATTAATAGCAGCCCTTCTAATATATTCCTAGATAATGAAATCTAAGGGTTAGTGTGATTTCAACTTTTTTATTTTTTCTTCCCAGTTGTTCTAAATTAAAAAATCACAAGGAACTAGTCACGGTCATTTAAGTTGTGAATGACAATAAATTAGAAGTGAATTCTAAAAATGTCGCATTTTGAAATAGAAAATAAACGTAAAAAAATCATGCTAAGAAGGTTATAATTAGGTCATTTCTCTTGACACTGATAATAAGGAGAGTAAAATGTCAAATAAAGAATATTGATAAGGCATTTTTTAGAGGAAAAATTACATACCAGTGAATTTGTACAAAATTAATTACATATTAATGATAAATCTTATTAATATTAATTATTAAGTGTAATTATTTTTCTAAAAATACCTTCAATGGTATTTTCCCCTTTTTTTAAACATATTTTGGATATTTTTACACATTTTGAACTACTTTTTCGGGTTGAAGCTAATGAGTGTTCATTAGTGTTTTTCATTTCGAGTTTTGTTAAGACATAGGATGCCATATGAGAGATTAAAAATCACAAGAGGTTGTTTGACAATTGTGCATTTTGACTTTCGAATCAACGACAAACCAACCACCACCGTCCCATTGTTCCATGTTTTCTAAAATGTTTCTGTTCGAATCCAACTTCTTGAGTTGTTACTATATGTTGCTGTATGCATTCACATATATACATGTGTGTGATTATGCATAGTCAAAATACGAATAACTGAGATTGGAGAGTTTCCATAATTATAAAAAAAAAAAAAAAACACCCTGATTTCTAGGGTTGACTATTTAGACCTTGTTTTTTTTTTTCTGGTGTGAAACATTAGGCCTTGTATATCTCTGTAGCATTATTGGATCCTGGGCTGCTCATTAGTTATAGTAAATGGAATACAGCTTCAATCCAACGCCTTGTCTCAGTTTCAACGCCTTGTAGTCGTGCACATTTATATGTAACACATACATATATATATACAAAACTGTGGCAAAAACCTAATGCAGTTTTCTATGCGACACACATTACTTATATTTGTATTGGAAGCAGAAAAAAAAATAGGAGATAGAGATGGCCCGACCACCAAAACGGCGCTACCGCCGTTCCAAAGTTAGGTTTGATGACGGACCACAAGACAAAACGTTCTTTACTCTCTTACATGCTCATGCTCATGTGAACCCCAAGCTGTTGTATTACCGTTGCTGTTACCACCACGGATCAAATTGATTCAATTTTAGAGTAAATCAGAAATCGAACCTAGGAATTGGTTCCATCATAAATGGAACTGTAATCGAATCGATCAGAATCAAATTATAAAAACTGGCTTGGTTCAGTTCAGTTCGATTTTATAGTTCTACAAATTTTATATAACAATAAATAAGATATATATATTTTATGTTAATAAACAAATAAATAATAATTAATTTGGGTTAGAGTTTATCAATTTTACAATGAAGATTAGTGTTGAAATCTTATAAAAGATTTTTTATATTTTAATTTTTATATGTAAAAATAAAAAAATAATAATAAGCAAATATGTTACGATTTGGTTCGGTTCGAAATCCTAACCAAAGCCTTGGAATCGGGAACTGAATTGATTTAAATGATTCTATCATTTTTAGAATCATAACTAAAACTGAAACTAATAAAAATAAATCACACTGACGATTTAAACCGGATTGGATTGATTTACCGGTTTCACCATTTTTTTTTTGGGTATACCCCTTCCACCTTTTTATCATCACTTCCATGCATGGGAAATGTGTCGTGTCTCTATTAAATCTGTATATATACAAATAGGGTTACATTTATCTGAAATAGAAATGACTCAATCATCAAGGTTTTTTTTTTTTTTTTGGATGAATTCTCAATTATTAACTTATTTAGCCTATTTTTTAAGATTTCTAAGAAAGTTCCAAAAATTCGTATTAGTGGAGAATGTATTTTTTTTTGGAACGCATATTAAAATAAAGTCATATTTTAATATATATATATATAACCTAAGATTATTTGATTCGGCTTGTTTGGTCTATCACGAGTCTTATTTTGATTATTCGAATCCTTCCAAGTATATCATTAATAACAAAAAATGATATCGATCTGATAATCATAATATTTTTATTAACGAGCCTCATTTTGATAATTTTATATTTTTATTTTGTAAGATTTATTTTCTATATTATTATTTATGAAAAAAAATTAAATTAATTTAGATAATTATAACCTTTTCTTTTTATTATATTTGTTAAAAAAAACAATAAATGCGTTAAGATGTGCCGTATAATTAGTTTGTGATTTAAATATATAGGCTACAATAATAATATGAAAAAAATGGTTGATTTGCATGATCTTTTGACAACTTTTTTTTTCATATAATAATTATTTTTATTTTAACTTTGAGAACTTTCTTGCATATTGTGATCTATAATTATTGCTTTCAAGTTTTGTTACAATAAATCACACTAAACTTTGCTTTCGATTTTTTTAAAATAATTTATTACAATAAATTATTCATTTAAACTTTAGAGTGAAAATGTGGAATGCACGTGTACCTTTGACTAATGCATTGCATGTGGGATTTAAATCAAGTTGTTGACTCTCTCTCCATAATCTTTGTTTGTTGCCTAATAATAAAAAATAACAAACTTTCCACAACTTACTCCCCAATGTGCCACCGGGAATAGAGAACATGATAAATTTCACAAGTCCAACATTTGACCTCCGAACTCTTCAACCCAAGTCTAATTAATCCTCCATTAATTCTGGCTGATTAAATATACTGATTCAAATCCCCATGGATTAACCTAATTTTATTATTTCCTTTTGTCCAACTCTTGCGGCACAGAAGACTCCTATTGTTAGTTGTTGAATTCAAAATCTTGCAATTAAGAGTATCATGTGTGGAAGCCACACACTAGTATGAAAAAAGTCTAAAAAGAGAAAAATCGATAACACAATACCAAACAACTCACGTAAAGTGGATTTTATCTTTTTATCAGTCTCACAATCATGTGAGAGAGTTGTATCAAATTCTATGATTAATTTTTGTGTGAGTAAAAGAAATGTTTTAATATCTCTTCATTGAATGTTGATATTGTTACATAATAAGGATGTTATATTTATAGATATAAAATATTAGTGCTATATACAAATTTTCTCTTGCAATATTTTAGTAATTTTTTATCCATGTGAAAGAAAAGAGATTACTATGAAAAGAAAATCAAGTGAAAGAAATTAATTTTCTTTCTTTAGCTTCTTAGGTTTATAATGGGTTAGGAAAATAGGGGAAAAAATAGGTATTAGTTAAAAGAAATATTTTTTTTTTTCTTCTTTATGTGTATTGGGATATTTCATTTCTCATTAATTTTTTTTGGGTAGATTATTTATATATATAAAAAAGAAAAAAAAAAAAATCAAATGTACACAAGCAATGGAGGTTGGATTCTTGTTCTTGCCTGATAACAGAAAGGACCTCTGCATTAAAAGAAAAATGTTTGGGGGCCCTAATTCTGTGGCTCAAATATGGCTCAAATGGCCAAAATGACGTCGTTTTGGCCATTTTGATGTTGTTTTGTATTCAAAACGACGTCGTTTTGGCTATTTGAGCCATAAAATTTGAGCCCTCTACCATTGCTGGCATTAAAAATGTGGGTTGCAAATCCATTGGTGAAAAGTCTGTCTGTTTGGATCAGCTTTCCATTGACTTTCCTTTTTTAATAAATATTTTTACAATTAACATTCATTTTTTTTAATGTTCTTTTAGTTTGTAATTTTGCTTCTTTTACAGTAAGAAAGGTCAAAAGCCAAATAAAAATGTGAATTCAAACAAGAACTTGAGCTTTGCCTTTCGTATAAAACCAACTGAAATTTGATCAAGAAGTTAAACATTTCATTGCCCAAACTAATAGAATTCTTGAATGAAACAAAAAAAATATAAACAGGACTTGAAGCAAATAATTCAGAGAACTGTTATTCAGAAGACAAATCGAACCGTGGCTAGGAGTCTCAGACCTAAATTTCCCAAAATTGGTTGAAGCAGGTTTCTCCCACAACCCCCAAAAAATTAGGAAAGAAGAAAAAAAACAAAAAAAACTAAAACCCTAAACTAAACATTTGGTAATTCAACTGTACATCCAACAACCTTCAGTTTCTTGTGTACCTCCCGGTGTTGTCGCTTCCTGAATCCATTAGAATTGTTAGCCGTTTTGCTGTCTTCGAAAACTCACTGCAACAAAAAAAGGTGGTCAATAATCCGCACGGTATATTGGTGTTGCATAATTGCTGTTAAATTTCTGCACAACATTTACCTGAAGGGTTCATCTCCGGTGTGTTTGATGGTGCCAGCAGCATCCCGATAGAGCACGTTGACGTTGCTCAACGTCTCTGATCCAACTACGCTGAACATGTTGGCGAGCTTCATGTATAACTCTTCATATGACCCGAGAGCTGAGAGGTCAAGGGTCCGACCCACATCCCCTGATTCCATGTATACCTTACAGTGACCGGTCTCAAACCCAAACTCAGGTTTTTGGTTATCTTTGTACCAGAGTGGCGATCCATCATCTGATGATGAGTTCTCCATTGGACCGCTCTGGAGAACTGCTGATCCTGAGCCATCTGAGAAATTTTGTGTCTTCTCTGTATCTCCAGAGCAGCTCTGAGAAATCTGCTGTTCTGTGAGAATGGGCTGACCAAACAGCAAGAACATAGGCGTTGGTTTTTCATTATCTTTCTTTGAACTTTGGGTAGAACTTGCCATCGTGAGCAAGCACGATATGCTCTTGTTGTTAGTGGGAACTCTGGGTGGTTGAGCAGCAGCATGATCGAGCTGTGGCAACGTATGGGGAAACAGACTCGAATGAAGTGATAATCCAAAGTGAGCATGCCTGGCTCCCTGTATGCCTGCAGGAACATTGTGGTCGGATACACAACACAGGGGGCTGGTGAGCCCGAGGGGGTCGCTGGAAAATGATGGCATTGGAAATTGCCCAATATAGGGGAAATCCGAGGGGTGTGGAACACGCAACTTCTTTCTTGGTGGAGAAAACGGGGAGAAATGGATGGCGGGCATGTTTGAAACCAATTCAACCAACCATGGGTTAACTCGCTTTACGTTCTGAAGCAATTCCGGCTCGTCCCATGATACCTGCAAAATGTTTTTTCAGGCAAGAAGATTTAGAACCAAATAACTAATTGATGTAGCATATACTCCAGGCAATAGTACTCAAAACAACTATTTCTGTTACGAGCATACATGAAACCGTATGTTCTTTGTTCGCTTTTAGTGGTTGGTTGAAGTGGGTACAGTCAAACATCAACGGGAAAGGGAAGGAACCAAAATAGTACATGGAAAATGATGTGAAACATATGAAAACCATCACATCTAAATTTCAAGCTACAATTTTAAAATGGTAGACAATCCAAAATATAAATAAAAGAAAAGCGTTCAAAATTAAACTCAATAGGCAGATTAATTTTTCTGTTGTCTACAAGCAATTAGACTTCTTATGATCGTAAACTAGTTGCACAGATCAAGATAAACTTACTACAAGAAGTACCATGTTTCAACTAGTTTGAGCAAAAATGCTGAATTCAAAACAATGACAATAGGCCATCGAAAAATAAAATATAAAGCAACAAAAACAAAATAGGAAGCTCGTAAATCACCTGCAGAAGGCGCCATGGAGAATTAGGCCAGCGGATGGGGTCATCGACTTGAACAGAAGATATGGTTCCCATGAACCAACTTATGCGTGATGAATCCTCTGTTTCAAAAGCCATTTTAAATCTCATTCCGGCACACCATTGAACTCTCATTGCAGCCCTCACAGCCACGGCCTTGACGCAAAACTCCGGGGCACTAGCTCTAGGATAGTAAACAACCTCAAAAGTCTGTCCATTAGCAGCCAAGGTTGCTGCTTCAGCAACACATTCAGCCCTAACTCTTCCCTTCACGCTCAGATTCCCATTAGAATTAACACTACATCCATTTCCATTTCGCGTAAATTTATTCTCATCTTCTCTCGAGAAAGATGAATACACGCCTAACGGTGTATTCCATCCAGATCGTGACTCAGGTCCACCACCAATACCATTCTTCGCCCTTCGAATTCCAACACAAAGATCCCCATTGTCCGCTCTCAAGAAAACAATCGAATCCCCAGCAACAAGCTTCTTTTGATTCACGAAATTGCTCCATCCCGTCGTCAGAAGATGGCGCCGCGGAGTCCCTCTATAAATATGCCTAAATTTCCACACCTCTCCATGAACATCCTTTACAAAGATGGTTTGAACCGGGGGTTCAGCTGAATAATCCAACCGAGGAAAGATAGTCTCTGCACAGTAGCGGGGAACAGAGAACCCCCCACCGTTATTCGCATCAGACTGTGTCAAAGTCTTTGCAAATGATGCGGGTTTCTCTTGACTCTCACTTGTGTCAATTCTCATGAACCCATTATCATCATCATCATCATCAAAATCACAACTATTGTTTATCAATGGAATTAATCTTATTTTCGCATAAACCTCATCGGTGTCAGTGTCAGCCAAAAACTTGATACCCGAAACTCTGCAGAGTATGAGAGAGGGAATTCGTGGAAAATTCCCAAAATCAGCTTTCCCATGGGCATGTTCAGAGTGGCCCTGAGGGAAATAGAAGACTTTCGAGTTCACCGGTGGCATTTGCACCATCCCACCGGCACAGGCATGCCATAATTGAGAATCCAAACACTTTTCCATTTCATTCATTGGTTTGTTCACTGAGTTCATTACAGTTATCATCGAAATCTAAGCCAATCAAGCATATAAAAATCCCTCTCTTTTCTTGTTAAATTCAGTAAAATGCTGTCACCATAAAAAGACAACAGAAATGTTAGCCAAATAATGAAGAAAAAAACAAAAGGACATGTTTGGTTGGGGAGAAAAATGTACGAATTGAATTTTTGAATCCTGAAATTTCATCATCTAAGGCCCATTACCGATGAAACATAAAACACACTATCTTGTATATTTGGCTAATGGGCACCTGTTAGCATGACCTTATCTTTGTTTTCTCGGTAAACAAACAGAATGTATAAAGCACAAAAATAGAGAAGAGAGAGAAAAATCAATGGTCTTTGTTTTATCAGTAAACAAACAGAATATAAAAAGCCCAAAAAAATAGGGGAAGAGAGAAAGATCAACAGTATACCTCAGTAGCAAAGCTGAAGAAGAGATCAAAAATCAACCAAACACACACATATAAGTCTCCGTAATGATGTATAATCAAAAACCCAGAAGCAGAAACTCCATTAAATCCCAAATCGATCAACCAAAACTGAATCTTTCTTCCTAATTCTATAAATTTTCAGTCAAGTTTGATGTATTGAAGAGAGAGAAGGAAGGAGTTGATGCTAGTATGGTAAAAATGGTTCATCTGTAAAGGGATTATAAAGAGAGAAACAGAGTGAGTGAGACAATAACACTCTGTTTGATGCAAACACAGAGTCGCTGAAGCTTCGTTGCCGACCAGACGGTTGGGAGAGATTTTGACAGAAAATTCCAAAGAAAATTTGTTTGGAAGAGAGAGATTTTGGGAAGAGAATAGTGGGTGTGGGATGGTTTTTGTATTGAAAGCTTCCAAACACAACACAACAGCCCCAAAATAATAGTATTTAATATTTCAGGTGCCGTGAGATCTCTCTTTCTCTATCTTGTTGGCTCTATTTTTTTGTGTTATTTTTCATTCTTTTATCTTCCATTATTATAATTTTAATTTTCTCTTTGGACTTTCAGATCTGAATCTCTCCCCATTTGTAGCACTCACCACCCTACTCTACACTAGGGCGCGTGTTGCCTCCCACCATTCTCACCAAAAAAAAATCAAATTGGTTATCATTTTTCAAAAATACTTTTCAAAAAATTTTATTTTTTTATTCTTTGTATTTTTTTATTGAATTTTTTTAATATTTTGAGCAATTTTTTTTAATTTTTAAACATACCTAACATACATATTCCTAAAAAGTAAAAAAAAATTGAAAAACACCTTTTAAAAATTCACTAAATACTAAAAATACAAAAAAATACGAGAATTCAGTACATTTTTTTTTATATTTTTATGTATTTATTAATTTTTAAAAATATTTTTTTACAAATTTTTTACTTTTTAGATACATCTAAGGAAAGTGCATATAAAAAAGTAAAAAAAATGTTTAAAATTTTAAAAATATTCACTAAAAACAAAAAAACATAAAAATAAAAAAACTTAGTTTTCAAAAAACTTAATTCAAAAAACTCAAACCAAACACAACTATTTTTTTTTAATAATCTAGTTAGATTCTGATTGGTTCATGAATTTGGAAATGAAAAGAAAAAAATGTATATAAAATGTAAATGAAATATAATTCACACACTATTTTCATTTATTTTTTTAAAATCTCTCTCCAAATCTATAAACCAAATAAATATAACCTTAAAGAAAAGGAAAATGAAAAAAAAAACATTAAGTGCAACGATGATAGTAATAAAAAGTTGTAAAGAATTTAAGTGGACAAACATTGTTTTCCATTATTTCAACATTATTGCGATTCCTACATTGAAGTAAGATTCTTCATTAAAAAGTCATACTACTTTGTAATATTACTATTACATTCAGTATTTACTCGTGAAAATGAATGATCACCATCCCACTTCAAGCTGTAATTGTTTGATATATTTTTTTTAAAGAATATTAGGGACCAATAATTTAGAATCCACAATTCACTCACAATAACATAATAAGGCAATTGAGTTTTATATAGTTGGATGAAAATAATCATTAAACTGTACATTTTAATATAAAAAATAAAAATAAAAATCAATCTTTTTCATCTTTATAAGTAACAAAATTACTTACGAAAAGAAAAAAAAATATTATGTTAATTACAATCTTAAAAGAATTTAATGTGTAGTTATGTTAAATTTTATGAGGCACAATATATTTTCTTTAAATTTTAATAACAACATGTGTAATTCAACTTTTTCGAATTTAAAATTTTTTAAAAACTTAAAAAAGCAACTATTTACATTTTAAAATGATAACAACAATTTAACAAAAAAAAATTGACCATATAGAAAGTGTTTTCACGCGATATGAGGGAGAGTGGAAATGATTTCCTCAAAGTCATAAAGAAATCCCTTCATAAACTATCAATTACATAAGCAAAGAATTTATAAAACATTATAATAAAAGTTAATAATCATATTCGATATTAATTAAATAGAGTAATACTATAAACTCATTTTTATCAATCTAAGAATTATCAAAAAAATTTGCCTTATAATTTAAATTTATTTTACATCTAAATCTTATATTACACAATTTTAATCTCTATCATATAACTATTCACTCAAACAAAACTTTTGAGTAGAATTTTCAATTAAATATTATTGAACATTTTTTTTTAAAAAAATTGAGTTGTTTTATCGTGAATTATCACAATAAGTGGAGTTTTGAAAAATTAATAAAAAATTAATTTTTTAATTTTTTTAATTTATTTTATTTTGAAAATAAAAAATATAAGACGTAATATAACTTAAAATGAAGAAAAAAATTAAAAGCTGACTTCTTTTTCTTTTTCTTTTCTTTTTTCTTTTCAAAAACTCCTAAATCGCGAGTCCAATGCACGCAAAGTTTCAAAATGCTCTGCAATCAAAGCAATAGTTAACCACAAGACATTTAACCATGGTAAGAGTCATGCTTCATGTCTGAGATCCAACATTTTAGCTAACTACAGTTCATTAAAGAATGGTTAACGTGAGGAGTCTGATTAACCAAGGTCAACTCTTTACTCAGTGGTTGTTGGGATGCGTTGCCGATTTTTTGGTCGGAGGTCCAGTTTTAATCGCAGTAATTACAGGGAGCGAGGAAATGGTGGCAAAAGCAAAATAATTTGACCTTTTGAGTAATCCTGTTTACACCACCATTTTAATTCATTACAATTTTAAATTTTTATTTTTATTTTTAATTACAATCTAATCTTTATTTAAAATGATCAAAACAAACTCAAAATTATAATTCTAATTTCTCAATCCATCCATCATTTATCATCATATCCACCAACCACCACTATTATCTTTGCTATCGGTAACACTATTCATTATTGTCGGTGCCACTCTCAACTCCCTTTCTACCCCACCCCTAACTTCCTTCCTACCTCACTCTTACTCCCGCTCCTCCTCCTCCTCCTCCTCTTCCTCCTCTTCTTCTTCTTCTTCTTCTTCTTCTTCTTCTTCTTCTTCTTCTCTAACACCCAATTACTTTATCTCTCTCTCTCTCACTCAAGAATTTGGGAATGGGATTTAGGGTTTGAAAAGCGGAAGTAAACAAGATAAGTGCAAACTTGGTATTATGATAAATGTAAAGGGAGAGAGAGGGAGAGAGAGAGAGAGAGAGATAAAATTGATTGTGGTGTAATGAGAAACTAGGTATAATGAGACAAAATTGTTGTGTAAGTAGAATTACCCTTGACCTTTTGCCTTTGGAATGACAAATTTACCCTCCTAGGATTAGAGAATGAATTAAGTAAACTTTTAGTTAGTTATTTAAAAAAAATGTTTAAAATCCCAATTTGGCTTATAATGATATTGCACGTTATATGTTAATTTTTAATTTGTTACAAACTTAAGTAAGGCCGAATTCTCTTCTCATGTTATTGCGGATAAATTTAAGAATTTATATTGTTAATTTTTAGCATTTTTTAGCATTTAAGCTTAGGGTTACAAACAAAGTGAGTTGAGTTTTTAAGTATTTGAGGTTGGCTCACTAAGGATTAGTCAAGTTTAAAATATCAAGCTCAAGCTTAGCTCGTATTGAGAAACTTGAGCTCATTTCAACTCAACTCGATTATATAAATGTTAATACAAAAGAGAAAGAAAAAAATAAATTTAAGTTAATTCGCATATTAAGCGAAAGAAATAACAAAATTATGATCTTAATACAAAAGAATGTTCATATAAATAATAAATTTCATCAATTAAATATGCAAATTTACACAAATGCTGAAACATTTTTAGGAAATAAATAAAAAATATATGATATTATTAAAAAAAAAATATTAGTTTACATTCATTTTATTCATAAGCTTTATCGAGTCAAGTTTGGATTTACTCGAAATCGACTCAATTTCTAAACGAGCCCAAAAAAGTAGACTTGAACTCGTTCATTAAGGTTGTATTTAGATTATATAATTGGATATAAATTTAAAAAACAAAAAGGTAAAAGATTAATCTACCAATCAAATTCAAGTGAGTTTATCTGTTTGCGAATTTATTATTTTAGTTAGTTTTTTTGCAAAAAAATGTGCAAAAAAATAGAGGAATAATGTGACAATTTATGAATACTTTTTTTTTTTACTTTTTGGCTAAAAACTATACTCCCCAAACGGCCAAACAGTTCTTTAAGAGGGACATTATATTAGTCTCTATTATTTGGGTGATTAAAGCAAGAAAGTGATTTTGGATTAGAGAGAGAATAGGAAAGAAGAAGAAAAAGACATTAAGGTTTGTAACAAAGTAAACTTGACAATAATATGAGATGCATAAAAGCGCCAAATTGTTCGGCAATTTGATTATGACTTAGTCGAACAATTTTCACATTCTCTCAAATTTTGAGCTAATATAAAGGAAGGGACAGTGAGACAACAAGAATGATCAACAATTTTCCTTTTGATAAACCAATTACACTGATAAATTATACCAAGTTGGAATTTTTTATTTGACAAATGACTTAGGTCTTGTATGGAATTTGGTTTTTTAGTTTTTTTTTTTTAAATTAATCTATTTGTAAAGTTGTAATGATTAGTGCTTTTTTTTTTTTTTTGTAAATAAGAAAAGATGATATGATATTTTTTAAATTTTTTTTGACATTTTTAATCACAATGTAGATCCCAAACTAGGCCATAATTGAGTTAAAAGTTGATTATTAATTTTGTTTCATATGGCAGTTTTAGGCCTTGTTTGAAAAGAGAATTGGATTAAAATAACTCATTAAAAAATAGATTAGGTTAAAATAGTTAATAAGATAAAATATCACATTTAATTCATAATCATTTTACTTTTTCTCTAACAACCATTAAATCAACTACAAAAAAAAACAAAAAAAAAAAAAAAAAAAAACGAATCAACTCTCCGAACACAACTTTTTTAGTCAAACTAAAATAGTCAAAAATTTAAATAACCAACTAAAATAGTCAACTTTCCAAACAAAGTCTTAATTAGATGTTAGTGGTATTACAAATTCACTAAAACCCAACAGAAGCAACAACAATAGTTTGTAACACTTGAGAGAATCCAATCACATCTATTTTTTTGGTATATATTAGAGCGTTTCTAGCTCTTACTCAAATGTTTTATCAAATTTAAATTTGATAAAACATACTTATTTTTTCTATTTCAACAATGGCATCAAACCCATATCAAATAAAACTAAGGTGAGATTTTTTATCAAATCAAGGGAGCATCTAACCTTTTACTAAATTTCGCAGGTGACCGTTGATGGACAACCAGTTGGTCAATCGGGTGGATGACCGGCAGGACAACCGGGTGGATGACCGACTTGAGGAAGTGTTGCTGAAAATCTCTATGCTTGATGACTAGCCAAATATGATGAAACAATTGGAACGCAATATATCAGATTAAATTTTTACTCAAATTTAATGAAAATTTGAGTAAACATGAGA